AGAATGATAATGGTAGAGAAGAATCATCAGATGGTAAGTGAAGAGAACCTTACATTAAACCTAATAGAAACTCAGTCGTAAAGAAAATAATCATTCAAAAAGAGTTATTGGAATAAAAAATGTTCTCATTTTAACTATTTATTGTCTAGATGAACAAAACGATGAACTTGCTATATGTTCATCTGATCGTCATGAACCAACACCTAGTCAATTATCAATAGTAACATGGTTTTATGATATGATGATCTATTGTTATTGGTATCAGTTATTGCTAATCTCACTTGGTTTAAGTATTGGTCTGTCTTGGCAGTGGCTAATATTAGTATTAGTCATCATTGGTATCCGTATTGTTAGATCTTCAACACAGATCTCGAACCATCAACGTGACGGAAGATATCGCAATTCTCAAACATCTCATTCAAGTTTGTTTTTCGATTTTGCAATTCGTTCGAATTTCTTTCTAAAATATTGTTTCTTTGTTTTAGACAATTCACGTTCTAATAGAAATAGACATGTAGTAAATGGTATTCCTCGTAAGTTGTATTTGTTAGTCAGAAAAAAAAGTCAATTACACAATATTTTCAATTTATCGCTATAGAACCATCGGCTATTGTCTTAACTGCATTTATACTCTTCGCAGCTGTTATAAGTGAGCAACTTTTAAACTTTTGTTTATTAAGGTCTGTATTATCTTTTTAGTCTTGACTTATACACCATTAGAAATTCAAGATACACAACCGCATGATATTATAATGCCTAACAATATGAAAAACATGCATCAAAGTATAAATATATCATAGTTTTTGTAATCTCTAGTATATCGTTGGCATTATAGATCTTTCTATAAATAATGAAAATAGTGGTATTAATGCAGAAGCAACATTATATAATAATTCCGATGATGATATTACAACAACACTTACATCTTATGGTAAACAAGTTCTTAGAAATGTTTTTTTTTTTGAATTATCTATTGTTAAATATTTAGAAGCAAATATTCAGGCCATCGTTAGAGAAAGTATTGCAACCGAAGCAGTTGACAATGCAACATGTAAGTTAAGGAAATATATTTCTATACGATATGTAATAACAATGCTCTATTTGAAAGATAATCGGAATCATGTTGATTTGATCGACATTGAAACTCAAATACTTTTGAATTATGATAGTAATGAAGAAAATGGTAAGTTATGTTTTCGTAAATGTACATTGAGAAGTGTTACAGATAACATTGTTTGGGTTCGAATAACTTATAGTGATATTCTAATATGTACGGTTCTATGATAAGAATATTTCTGGACCTTTACAAGTTTAATGAAATGTGAAAATTATTTCAATAGTTGAAGCTTTTGTTTTTTTTTGTGCTTAGAACAAATTTTTAGTTCTGAAGTTGAGCCTTATATGGATGATGAAGATGATTCGACTGATGATATTGGAACAGGTCTTGATTCTGACAATGATTTTTATACGAATTCTGGAAGTGATTCAAACGATGATCAAACCGATGATAATGATGATATAAGTTTTATCTCGCATATTAGTTATGATACGACTAGTGATGATGATTCAATCGATGATAAGGATGAAATTAGTGTTAGTATAGATAGTAGTTTTGGTACAAGTAATGAAAATGATTGGTCTATTAACAATGATGAAACAGATATTGTCGATGAAGTTGAAAATAAAACACCGTTAGATCGAACAATTTCAGCCATTGAACAATCTGTTATATTAACATTATCATCAGGTATAGATGAGAGGTTTATTCATTTGAATGATTAAAATAATTCTTTCTTTACAAAGATTCATCATCTGATCAAACATTAAAAATTAAAGAAAATGCTGATACTTTAATTGATATTGATCGTCAAGAAATGGTATCTTCTACTGATCCAAATAATATGGACAGTAAGATAAAAACAAATTCTGTTGGTTTAAATGAGCAATTGAATGAAGACAGCACTTCACCACAAGCAGTTGATGATTCAAGACGTAAGTTAACAATTATAGTTCTGTAAAACTTATTATAAATTCTTTTGTTTAAAAGATATTAGAGATCCTGATGTTGGAGCAGAAGATCTACAACCGAACCATGATAATAATGAAGAAGATGGTAAGTTATGTTGTTTTTTTCAAATAGTCTTTTTAGAAATATAGGTTCAGAACTATTAGAGATACTACTGAGGAGTGAAAGTTGCCAAGTGCCAACCGTCGATCGGGTTGATTCTTTACCTTTAAGTAGGATCTGTTGAGATTAGATAAAGACCAAAAGGATACGGGACCATGGTCTCTTGATTAAGAGTTATGATCATTTGTCTGGTTTTTCAATCTCTGACTAGGCATACATGAAAAAAATCGACTTACAAAATTTAGATCTGAAATTTTGCTCAGAGATAGGTCTCATGGCTATTAGAGAGTCCTAAAAATTTCAGCTCTTAAGAAGATTTTCTTCTTGAGATATCGGACGAGGAAGACGCCAGATCTTTTGACCTTGTTTTGTGACATATGATCGTTTTTTGGACATTTGATATCTCAAGAAGAAAACTTTCTTAAGAGCTAAAATTTTCAGAACTCTCTAATAGCCATGATATTTATCTCTGGGCAAAATTTCAGGTCTAAATTTTGTAATTCGATTTTTTTCATATATGCCTAGCCAGAGATCAAAAATCCAGAAAATGACCCTGATTCTTGATCAAGAGGTTATGAATCCGTACACTTTTGGCCTTCATCTAGTCTCAACAGGTTCTACTGAGAGGCAAAATATCAGTCTGATCGGTGGTTGACACTTGGAGATCTTTCCTCGTGAGTACAATTCAAATAATCTAATGACGTTTTAATATGTATAACTCTTCAATAAGAGTATTATTAAACCTTGAAAAAATTGATCAAATTATAAAAAACACGTTTTAATATCTGAATTATTTTGTGCTTAGAAGAAATCGCCGACTCTGAAATTAATCTTCGAACTGATGATAAAAATGATGATCTGGTTCATAATGATATTCAAAGAGGTTTGTTTAACATTTTTCATATTCTTTCCTATTTTTAAACAAATTGAATATGAATAGATCGAGTTTCACCGAGCTCTGAATTACTCTTTAACAATGATGAAAATAATATACACTTCGATCGAATCACAACTACTGATATACATTCCGCTCCACAAACTTTATCAATGGGTTCATCATCTGATCAATCATTACAAATTGAACAAAAGCCTGTTGATCAAACTGAAGTTGATCATCAAAATCTGATACCTTCTACTCGTGCAACGAGTATTCATTTACAAAAGCATCCAAATTCCGTCGATTCTAATGAAGAATCGTCGAAGAAAAATGTTCCATAAACAAAAGAAAAATTATTTGTTATACTCAACAATCAAAAACAAAAAATTTTTAATTCAGCCATTGTTTTCCATTCTATTAACATATTTATTCAAAAACTTTTTATGTTTCCAGTGAAATGCTACGGTGACAAATGAGCTTGTTTGTTAGTTTTCTTTTCGTTATCAATTATTGCCACA